AGACTTGCTTGAGCCCAGGAGTTGGAGGTTGCTGTGAGCTGTGATGCCACAGCACTCTACCCAGGGGAACAGCCTGAGGCTCTATCTCAAAAAAAAAAAGAAAAGAGTTAAGCTTTTCTAAGCGACACGTACACAACCACTAGATGTCGTTGTTACGATTTTGCCATTTTACCTCACTTATTTTTGTGTTTGCTAGTCTATTCTATTCTGTTTTGAGACAGGGTCTCACACTGTCACCCAGGCTGGAGTATAGTGGCATCATCAGAGCTCACTGCAGCCTCCACCCCCACCTCCAGCAAACCTTCTGCCTCAGCTTCCCAGAGTGCGGGGACTACAGGCACAAGCCACAATATCTAATTAATTTTTCTTTTTTAGGGGTAGAGACAGAGTCTCACTTTATTGCCCTTAGTAGAGTGCCATGGCGTCACACACACAGCTCATGACAACCAACTTCTGGGCTTAGGCAATTCTCTTGCCTCAGCCTCCTGAGTAGCTGGGGCTATAGGCGCCCGCCACAATGCTTAGCTAATTTTTTGTTGCAGTTTGGCCGGGGCTGGTTTTGAACCCACCACCCTTGGTATATGGGGCCAGCACCCTACTCACTGAGCCACAGGTGCCGCCCTCCTCTGCATATATTTCTGACAAGCTATTGGTCCTTTTCTTATTGAGTCTGAAAGTTCTATGGTTTATACCATAGGCCCTGAGCCATACTGCCTTTCTGAATCCTGATACCACTATTTATCTAGGTGACCTTCAATCACCTCTTGGTGCTTTACTTTTTTTAAAGTTAGGGTCTTGGTCTGTTGCCCAGGCTGGAGTACAGTGGTATAGTCATAGCTCATTCATTATAACCTCAAACTCCTAGGCTCAAACTATCTTCCTTCCTCAGCCCCTGAGGAGTTAGGACTACAAATGTGTGCCACTACACCTAACTAATTTTTAATTGTTTTATAGAGGTGGGAGTTTTACCATGTGGTCCAGACTGGAACCTTAGTTGTTTTTTTGTTTTTTTTAGTGTCAAGCTCTTGCACTGGGTAGAGTGCCATGGCATCATAGCTCACAGCAACCTCAAACTCTTGGGCTCAAGAGATCCTTTTGCCTCAGTTTTTTTTTTATTTTTTAGTAGAGACAGGGTCTTGCTTTTCCTCAGGCTGGTCTCAAACTTCATGAGCGCAAGCTATCTACCCGCCTTGGCCTCCCAGAGTGCTAGGATTATAGTGTGAGCCACTGCGCCTGACCTGTTTTTTTTTTTTTTTTTTTATTGTTGGTCACTTGTTTGTTTATTTGTTTTGGTTTTAGAGACACAGTTTTACTTTATCACCCTTGGTAGAGCGCTATAGTGTCACAGCTCACAGCTACCTCCAACTCCTGGGCTTAGGTGATTCTCTTGTCTCAGCCTCCCAAGTAGGTGGGACTACAGGCGCCCACCATAATGCCGGGCTATTTTTTGTTGCAGTTTGGCCAGGTCCAGGTTTGAACCCGCCACCCTCTGTATATGGGGCTGGCACCCTACCCACTGAGCCATGGGTGCCACCCAGCTTGTTTTTATTTATTTATTTGCAGTTTTTGGCTGGGGCCGTGTTTGAACCCGCCACCTCGGAATATGGGACTGGTGCCCTACTCCTTGAGCCACAGGTGCTGCCCTTATTTATTTTTGAGATAGTCTCATTTTGTTGTCCTTAGTAGAATGACGTGGTGTTACAGCTCACAGCAACCTCAAACTCTTGGGCTCAAGCGATTTTCTTGCCTCAGTCTCCCAAGTAGCTGGGACTATAGGTGCCTACCACAATGACTGGCTATTTTTAGAGACAGACTCTAGCTCTTGCTCAGGCTGGAGCTCAGGCAGTCCACCTGCGTCAGCTCCCAGAGTGCTAGGATTACA